AAAGAATAAAATACTTAAAATAAATTTATCAAAAGAAGTGTAAAAGGTATACAGTTGATCCTTGAACAATGTGGGGGTTAGTGATGCCTACTCCCATGCAATTGAAAATCTGTGTAACTTCCGACTCCTCCCAAAATTAACTACAGTTGGCCCTTTGCATCCATGGAGTCAACCAACTGCGGTTGGGAATTCACAGTTGGGAAACCATGGTTGAAAATTCAAATCAGAATCCCATCTGACTTCTTTGTAGAAACTGACAAGCTGAATTGGGAATTCATATGAAATTACAAGGGAATCAGAATACCCAAAGTAATCCTGAGAAAGAAGAACGAAGTCAGAAGACTCACACTTTCCAATTTTAAAACTTACTACGAAGCAATATCAATTAAGACAGGGTGGCACTGCAACAAAGACACATCAATAGATCAATGGAATAGTGTAGAGAGTCCAGAAATAGACCCATACATCTATGGTCAATTGATTTTCCACAGGGGATGTCACACCATTCAATGGAGGGAAATAACAGTCTTTTTAGCAAATCATGCTGGTGCAACTGAATCGTCACAGGCAAAAGAATGGAGTTGAACCCACCATATATAAATATTAACTCAAAATGGATCAAAGACCGTTTGTAAGAGCAAAAACTATAAAACTTTAAAAAGAAAATATAGGGGGAAATCTTCATGACCTTGGTTGGATTTGGCAAAGTATTGTTTGATATGAAACAAAAAGTACAAGCAGCAAAAGGAAAAATAGGTAAACTAGACTTCATAAAAATTAAAAACTTTTGTGCTTCACCCTGGCTGGTATGGCTCGGTTGGGTGTCATCCTGTGCAACAAAGGGTTGCTGGTTCAATTCCCAGTCAGGGCAAATGACCAGGTTCCAGGCTCAGTCCCCAGTGGGGGCGTACAGGAGGCAGCCAATTGATGTTGTGCTCACACATCAATGTTTCTCTTCCTTCCTCTCTCTCTAAAAATCAATAAACTATTCTTTAAAAACAAACAAACAGCCCTGGCTGGTTTGGCTCAGTGGATAGAGCGTCACGTCAGTTTGTGGACTGAAGGGTCCTGGGTTCAATTCTGGTCAAGGGCACATGCCCAGGTTGTGGGCTCGATCCCCAGTAGGGGCATGCAGGAGGCAGCCAATCAGTGATACTCTGTCATCACTGATGCTTCTCTCTCTCCATCTCCCTTCCTCTCTGAAATCAATAAAAATATATTTTAAAAAATAATAAATAGCCCTAACCAGTTTGGCTCAGTGGATAGAGCGTCACGTCAGTTTGTGGACTGAAGGGTCCTGGGTTCAATTCTGGTCAAGGGCACATGCCCAGGTTGTGGGCTCGATCCCCAGTAGGGGCATGCAGGAGGCAGCCAATCAGTGATACTCTGTCATCACTGATTCTTCTCTCTCTCCATCTCCCTTCCTCTCTGTAAAAAATCAATAAAATATATTAAAAAATAATAATAAATAAAAGAAAAATGCTGCCTCTGATACAATCTTTATAGGTTTTTAAAAGTAAAACCAAACAAATATAAAACTTTTGTGCTTCAAAGTACACCATCAAGAAAGTGAAAAGAACCCACAGGATAGGAGAAAATATTTGCAAATCATGTATCTGATAAGGGACTTATAACCAGAATTTATAAAAAGAACTCTTACAACTAAATAATAAAAAGATAACCCAATTTTTTAAATGTGCAAAGAATCTAAAGAGACACTTCTCCAAAGAAGATATACAAATGGCCAAAAAGCACATGAAATGATGCTCAACACCATTAGTCACTAGGGAAATGCAAATCAAACCACAGTGAGATACTACTTCACACCCAATAGGATGGTTAAAACCCAAAAATAAGTAAGTGAACAGTAAGTGTTAAGTGAGGATGTGGAGAAATTAGAACCCTCATACACCACTGGCAGGAATAGAAAATGCTCGTCCCTTTGGTAAACAGCCTGGCAGCTCTCCAATTACACATCCAGTTACCACATGACCCAGCAATTCCACTCCCAGGTATATATACCCGACAAAAATGAAAACATACGTCCAGACAAATATTTGTACACTACTGTTTATAGCAGCATTTTTCATAAGAGTAAAAAAGTAGAAATAATCTGAATGTCAATGGACGAATGACTAAACAAAATGTGGTATATTCCTACAACCTATTCGGCCATAAAAAATAATGATGCAGCTTTATGCTACAACTTGGATGAACCTTGAGGACATTATGCTACATGAAAAAAGCCAGTTACAAAAGTCTACATATCGCCCTAGCTGGTTTGGCTCAGTGGATAGAGCATCAGCCTGCGGACTGAAGGGTCCCAGGTTCAATTCCGGTCAAGGGCAGATGCCGGGGTTGTGGGCTCGGTCCCCAGCGTGGGGCGTGCAGGAGGCAGCTGATTGATGATTCTCTCTCATCATTGATGTTTCTCTCTCTCCCTCTCCCTTCCTCTCTGAAGTCAATAAAAATTTATTTAAAAAAAATCAACATATCATAGGAAATGTCCAGAATAGGCAAATCTATAAAGATCAGTAGTTGCTTAGTGCTGAGGGAGGGAATAAGAGGGTGGGAATTAATAGGTAAAAGATATAGGGTTTCTTCTGAGATGATAAAATGTCCTAAAATTAACTGTGGTGATGGTTGCATATCTGTGAATGCACTAAAAACCATTGAATTGTTGTACACTTGAAATAGGTGAACTGGATGGTATATGAAAATTATATCTCAATAAAACAGTTTGGGTTTTCTTTTTGGTGTTTCTGAAGTCTGTTGTTGGAACTGGGGCATGTGTTGTCACAGAAGTACACTCTGGCCGGAAGAGTCGGGTTCCTAGGCTGCCCACAAAGGCCTCTGGCCCAGACACAGCTATACTACTGAGGAGCCAACTTTGGTGCAAACAGCTGTCCTGAACCACAGCCCAAATCCTTGTTTTTATGGGAAAATATGCGAGGTCAGGAGTCGAGAAACGGGGGACACCCTGACCTAGCCTCTTCCCCAGGAAGTCAGCTGCCAGTATAGACAGGTACAGGCTTAAAGGCTGCCACAGGATGCTTAGGTGACCAATCTTCGGGGGACACTGGGCCTGCAGTGACCGCCCCCCCCTCATCTGAGCAGCCTCTGCATGTGGCTCAGACTCCCAGAGACCTGCACCAGGAGCCTCAAGGGCACTGCCCGCAGGGTGGCCAGACCCCAACTCACCTCTCAAAAGCCACATTTCGAGTGTCCAGGTGGGTGGAGACGATGGGAGAGGTGAGGCGACTGGCCACATGCTCCTCACTGGGCCGCATGGCGGCCAGCAGCACTTCCGGCTCAGGAGGGGCCAGCCCCAGCGTCTCCGTGTGCACCACCTGCCGGTCATGGTCCACTTCCATCACCAGGGCTCCTGCCTCTGCCAGCCAGTGGTATGCAAGAGGGGAGTAAATCAGTGCCAGGCCCGAGGCAGTGGATGGGGACCCATCATGACGCCCTCAGCCACCTGCCCCTCCGCCCCAAACCTCCATTTCCACACCGGGAGAGTGGAGAGAAAGGACAGCATTGTCCTCACAAGCCACAGGAGCATCTCTGGCGCCCGCGGTGAGTCCCCCAGAGCTCACCCTGGCCCTTGAAGATGAAGCTCCTCCGGCCACGCTGCCAGGTCATGTGCTCAAAGCCCAGGAGACTGGTGTCCACCCGCAGGCTCTCACCCCGCTTCCATACACGGTACACGTCACTCGGGCACATCTTGGACACGAGGGGCACTGCAGGGGGCACAGAGGTCACCAGGGTTCTTTCCTTAAGGTCCCACCCCAGGCCCCTTGGAGCCGAGCAGTCCCCACTCACCCCAGCTGGTAAACTCCCACTTCATCTCCACGTAGAAATCAGGGGCCTGAGATAGATCAGAGCTCCGGTCAGGGCCCTGCCTAGTTCTGGGGGCCAGTGGGCCTGGGCAGCTCCTTGTCTGCAGCCCTGTTCTGGGAGCCGAGCCCTTCAGCAAGTCCTGATGCATTGCCATGGCCCTGCTATGCCCCCATCACAACCAAACCCCACCCAGGAAACGGTGGGCCAAGTGGTGCCCTAAAAAGGCCGTCAGCAATCAAACTATAAGATCCAAGGGCCAGTCTCAACCTGGTGGGGGGGGGGGGGGGGGGGGAAGACCTCGGAGGGAGCTCCTGACTGTTGTGGATCCCAGAATCCTCATCTGTAATGGAGCACAAGGACCCCCTCTGGGCCTGCCCCTGGGATGGGGGAAGGAGGTAGTGTGCTCCCTCAACCCCCCTCCTCCCCGGGTGCTTTGAGAAGGGCAGACAGGTATTCCAGAAGCACAGGCCACATCCATCGAGTTGGATGAAATCCTCCCTCCAGAAAATCTGCATTCACCAGGGAGCCCATGGTCTAAAGCTCTGCTGAGATTTCTGGCAGTAGGAGACCCTTAATGCCGGTAAGGGCTTTCCTTCCAAAAGACCCACTCTTGTCCCCGTGGGCCTGTACCCCTCTCTTTCCTCTGCGACCCTGGGCTGGGGTCATAAGAGAGGGACTTCGGGGTGAGGGCATGTGCTGGGGAGTGGGAGTGGCCGGGGAGAGGTCAATGGGGGAAAAAGGAGACATGTAATACTTTAAACAATAAAGAATTTAAATAAAAAATAATCAGAGATATCGATAGACACAAAAAAAGAGAGAGAGGCACTTCGTCGGCAGTGTTGGGAAAGCATGCTGCACAAGCTGGGCGCCCTTCCCAGGCCAGGCCAGGCGTGTGTGACCAGGGTGACCGCCACGCGGCCTGCCAGCCCCCTGCCATGGCTCTCCACCCCTCTTACTGGCCACACCTCTGCCCTCTGTACCTGGCGGAGTTTGTTGAGCAATTCCGGAATGCCGGCCAGCCTCTGCTTGGCCCTCTGGTAGTCCCGGTACTGGAGCACCACTTGCACCATCTCAGGGTCCCCGGTGCTGACGGCCTCCTGCAGGACTGGGGTCACCAAGCTGCTGAAGGGCGCTCTCTCCACGGCCCCAGGTCTGGTCACTCACCAACCCCATGTCACCCTCAAGGAAGCCCGTCTGCCCTCTGCAGTACCTGCCCAGCCCTGACAGCTCTCTTTGCCCACGTTGGCATTGTGTCGAAGGAGGACTCTCACAGACTCCAGGTTCCCCAGGGAAACGGCCAGCTCCAGGGGGGTGCGCCCGCGGGGGTCCTCCTGTTCAATGTCATGCTGGGGGAGAGGGGACACTCAGCACGCGGCAAGGAGAGAGAGGCAGGGGCAAGAGGACCACTGGGCTGAACGGAGCCGGGAGCCACTATATGGGAAATAAGTAGGCGGACAGGCGGTGGAAATGGCAGAGGGCGCACCTCGTTGTCCCTGCAGGGACCGGGAAAGGGCAGGTGGGAAGGGCCTGCCCGCCTCTCCTGTGCTTTGCCAGGGACAGAGCTGTGGGCCCAGTGGTGGGGCCTGGTCAGGCAGAGGTAGAGCTGCGGCTGTCAAGAGCTTGGACCGGCCTGGGGACCAGGACCGGGTTGCTCCATCTCAGCCTAGCTCAGGGGCGGCCATGGCGAGAGGTAAGGGGCTGGGTGCAGTGCGGAGCGGGGAGACGGGCGAGGCGGGCGAGGCTCAGCGCTGGGAGCCGAGCCCAGAGGCTCAAGCGAGAGGGGCCGGTCACCTGGGCTTCCATC